GCATGGAGCACTGGGTGTTATGCACAAACAATGAATCATGGAACACTACATCAAAAACTAATGATGTAATGTATGGTGATTAACATAACAATAAAAAAATTTTTAAAAAAGGAGAGAGTCTGCTTTTATCTCAGGTCATGATCCCAGGGTCTTGGGACTGAGCCTCATATCTGGCTCCTTGCTCAATGGGGAGTCTGCTTCTCCCTCTGCCCCTCCCCCCCACTCATTCGTGCTCTCTAAAATAAATAAATAAATCTTTAAAAAAAAAAAAGGTGAGGTGGGCAAAGCCACTGTATTAGAATTATTGTACCTTCACTAATCATAAGGTCTCCTGCAGCACTGTCCAAATGCCGAAGACTTCATTCCACCCAGCAAAGAAATCAATGGCCACATGGTACTCACAGAGGATATCAACACCCATGTGGAACATCCACCACACCCCCTGAATTTGTCATACCTCCTCAATTTGCTCTCCAGCTATGCACAACATGGTTTCCTGGAGGAGGTGGTCAAAGTAACCACACTCTGGGGGCTTCAAGCATGGTCTGCAGAGCCTAGGCTCCAGCTCCTTAGTGACATCTGTGTGACCAGAGTGCATCAACTGAGCAGCTTTACAACTGAGCTGAACAATGATGGCAGCTCCCCACACATCAGTTCGACCCATCTCAGCCTCCCCACTTCCCATGCCCTACTTTTTAGCATGCCCTTAGCAAACACTCAGGCTACCTGTGCCACCTCTGGCCAAAGAGGACCTGCCAAAGGGACAAAGATAACTGCAGGAATGAAGAAGGATACCCCCAGTTTTTCTTGGGCACCCCATGGTGGGAAGGCTCATCATCCTCCCTAACACACCTGTCCAAGGCCACCTCAGGGACCACTCGGGCCCCTCCATCTGTCCTCTTCAGGGTCCCTAACAAACCCTCAACCAGGACACTATAAGACCTGAAGCAGGGAAGAAGAAATGACTGTAGGTGGAGGGGATTTCATTCACATTTCATCCCCCTTCCCAAGGCAGGTTGAGGGTTTTCTGAAAAGGGACCCTGAACCACATCTAGAGAAGCAAAGTGAGATTGCTGATCTATAAACTCCAGATGAAGTCAGCTTGGAGCTGGCATTGAGAAGAACCCCGGGACAGGTTAAATAAATGAAGGGATAGTCTTTCAACAGGACACCATGCAGACATGAAAGAGAACAGGGAAACTTCATGCACCAATATGGAACAACCCTCAAGATCCATTTTTTAAAAAATAAGTTTGATGGGAATATGATTTACAAACAGTAACATTTACCAATTTTAACTATGCACTTTGATGAGCTTTAATAAATGTATTCCATCATATAGCCATCACCACAATCGTGATCCGGAATATCTTCATCACCCTAAAAAGGTCCCTCTTGCCTCTATGCACTTAATCATCCCCATCTCCTCCCCATTCTTGGCCCCCAAAGCCACTGATCTGCTTTCTGTCTCTGTAGCTGGCCTTTTCCACAATGTCATATAAATGGAACCACTATACTGCTAGTAGCTTTTTACGTCTGATCTCTTTCACTTAGCATCATGCTTTTGAGATTCGTCATGTTATTGCATACATGTGTATATACATTATCACACGTTATACACACGTGCATACACGTGATTGTGTACATTGGTAGTTCACTGTCATTGCTGAGCGGTACTCCATTGTACAGATTTACCAAAATCTGTTTATCCATCTTATTGGACATTCGAGAAGAAAAAAGTAAGCTGTGCCACTGTGTCCCGTGGCACTCTGCCATCCGTGTAAAAAGGGGTAGATGCACACAACTTTGTGTCTATTGACCAGCACTTGAAAAACACACAAGAAACTGGAATCATGGTAGCCTCTGAAAGAGAAATAGAGTGGCTGAGAGATGTCCTTTCTCTGTATACCCTTTAGTACAGTTAATAAAAATTTGTTTTAACTATGTACATATATTACCGATTAAAATGGTTTTAAGATGACTTCCTCCATCTAAGATCTGCATCCCTTTTCCCCAAATCTTACAACTTTTTTTTTTTTTTTAGCTATTTCTTTGACTTATCAAGATAAGGTTTAACAGGGTATTTTCCAGATAAAAAAGGAAATTTTGCTGTTTTCCCGTCCTCATGGAGTTCTTACACACTCCAACTTAATCTCCCTTAACTATGTGCTTCGTAAACTTAGGAAAATAAAAGCCTCCGACATCTGACTACTGCATTCAGTACAGCCAAGCCCTGCAAACTCAGAGGCTGTCATGTGAGCAGAGCATCTCGTTGGATGAGAAAACAGAAACAGACTGGACCACCTGGGCAGAGCCCACGGCGTGACCTCTGAGGAGCCCTGGTGGCCCGAGACGCCCTGCCCTTTGCCAGGCCGAGTCGACCATCTGCCCCCGCAAGCGACAAAGGAGCTGCAGTTCCTTAGGTTTGAACTCCCTCGAAGAGCTCTCCAGCAACATAAAAGCACAACCGCATGAACATCTGCAGCTACTCAGGAAAGCCAGTGTGCATTCATATTCCCTTGTCTGGGTTGGGGTGGGGGCTTTTTTCCCCCTTTTTACATTAATCCTTGTTCTTGGCTCTTTTGACAGCGTCTGACACATGGCTTTGCTCACTGAAAGTTTTCTGAAGGCCTCTAGAGGGGTGGCTGATCCTCAGAGCTGGGAATGATGTCACCGACGCCATGCTCGGCCGGGCCTGGGCTTCTCCCCGTCCTCCCTGTAGAGACTCAGGCTGTTGCCCTGATCCCCAGCTCCTGAAGAGGCCCTCACCTGTCCAGCACACACAAGCATCTGGCCTAAGAGGGCCAGCTTCACAAGGCACCATGCAAGACCTGAGGCCGGAGCACGGTTGTTACCCCGGTAAATAGACAGAGACCCGAAAACAACGGAGCAATGACAGGTCATGCTTATTCGGTCTTCAGCTTGGGCCTTGCGCCCGCAACTCTTCCCCGCCACCTCACACCACCACCTCCCAGCAGCAGGTTCCCAGGGAGGCGGGCAGGCCCCACCCTGACAAGATACTCCCTGGGACCCCTCACTCCAGATGACCCAACAAGTCACTTCAACAAGGCTCGGTTGGACAAGTATTGATTTTGTGCCTATCATCCCCAAAACCAGAATGAGGCGGCATGAAAGAAGCTCCCAGGAGACAGGCGGTTGCCGGCGGCGTCCCGTGGGCTCATGACAATGGCCAGCTGTGGACTGACGGGGCCTTGAACAGACAACCTTCAGCAGGCAAGAGGGATGAGGTGTACTCTGTCAAAACAGAGCACAGCCAGGCCTTCCTGGACAGGGCCCAGGACACGGTTTTCCATGGCACTATATCAGGACCCACATATTTGGAAAGTATTCCCCAGTCAGCACCCTTCCAGTCCTTCTGATTGCGTCAGGGGGAGAGTTCAGTATGGTTGCCAGGATGTCTTTAACACTTCCCTAGCACTCCATAATTTCCCCTTCTCACACACAGGAAGAGTGGGCGGCTTCTTCACAGACTTTGGCAAACGATGAAATCCAGTTAGGGTTTGATGACATTGTTGTGTCTTCAATGTATTTACTTTTATAGTTACTTTCTGTTTGGTATAGAATAATTGGTAGAGGGGGGTACAAAGTTTCTGTTTCAAATTATTTTGAGGCAAAAAGTCAGCTGATTTAAAGAAAAAATATGAAATAAGATACCACAGGAGGTGTGTGTTTAAGATAAAAATTAAAAAAAAAAAAGCAAAAACCATGTAGGGGGTATGTGGTTTTTCATGGATCTGACAAAAATGGGGACTCTGATCACTGAGGTGCCAGAGACACTGGGGTGAGCCCGAGAAGCAAGGTTCGGAACCACACGAGGCACCTTCCAGAAGAAAAGGATTCAGTTCAACCTGGACAAGAGCCCAGAGCATGTGTGTTATCATGAGGAAGATGACGCTAGCAGTGTGAGCTGAGACCAGCTTGTGGAGAGCCCTGAGGCTGAGTGGACCTGCAAGGGCTTTCACCTGTGACTGGGAAGACCCCCGAGACGCCTCCAGCCCACTTCACTAGTAGGAGGGAGCCAATCCCCAAAACTGGGCTTATCTGGGGGAGGAGAGGAGATAACCTAGGGCATGTGGACTCTGAGGCCAAGAGGCCAGGGAAGCAACCTGACCTGCCTCAGCTCTGCAGGCCCCAGTGAGCCTTTGAGAATGGACCCGGCACCCCGGGTGGGTGGAGCCAGAGGAGGATGGGGCTTATCATGAAATTCTGTACGTCCTGCAGGCCCCACCAGGGCTGAGAAGGGAACAAAGTGTGGGACAACACAGCTAGTCTGGGAGGCAGGTGTTAGCTCAAACAGTCTTCCACGATAGAGATACTTATCACCATATATGGCAAGAAAACTTCTAGGGAAAAGGAGGAAGAGAGAGACAAAAAAAAAAAAAAAAAGATTGGAATAGGCTTAAAGCAAAAAAAAAAAACCTAAAGATAGCCTAAACAAAACACACCCAGCCCCTCGTGCCTGCCTCACAGTCTGCGAGCCATATGGTGTGCGATAAGCCGGGGCACTTTTATTTACCTTCCGTCAGTGTCTACAAAGCCGAGAGCCAGCCCATCAAGAAGGCCCCACTTGCAGCAGAGGCTATGCCATGCCCTCAGGCCCAGATGACCAGCTCCCAGTCCCCAGTCCCCACTCCAGGAGGCCACCTGCTGCCACTCCCACCCCACCCTTGTTGCCTGCCTCGACCCCAACAAGGGCCACGGCCTCCCCAGCGGTTTTCCCACAATGGACACACCAGGGCCAGGCCTGCTGCCTCCTTGGCCAGCTGGGCCATTGGGCCACATGTACCATCAGCCAGCTCATGAGTGTTCGCCCTAATGGGGCCATTCACCAGCGTCCTCTGCTACAGCCCAGACAACAACTGGTCAATAAACTTTCCTGGTGGCTAAGAATGATCAGCCACCTGAGCACCACTTAACAGGCATGCTGCCTCTTGAACCATAAAGGCCACAGAAGCCTGTGCTTTCCTGATGCATTCCACCACCCCCATGTCCTTGTATGAGAAAACAGCCAAGTACTAATCACATCCAAACTTCTCTAGATCTGATGTACTGGACCACTCTCTGGCTCTTCCCCAAGACGACCCAAATCATCACAGAGAGGTGTGTGCTTGCTCTGCACTCCTGGGCTGCCGTCACCCTCCAAAATCTTGTGACCACCATCTCCATCTCTCTTCTCATGGTTCCTTTGTGGTTTTAGATTTTTTTTTCTTTTTTTATTCTTTTTGTGTTCTACACGCTGACACAGAGGTAAAAGAAAATGACATTTAAATATGAAAGAACTCTACAATTAAACCCACAACTCTACACATTTATCTCACATGTTGGTGAATCGGAAACATCGTATCACGGAAGAACCAAGAAAGCTCACGAAGAAATATATCCAAGTATGAAAGTACTGTACTCTTGGTGCCTTTACATTTAAGTACAACTCACCGGCTCCTCGGAGAAACACACCTGTGGCCTTGTTCTATAGGTGTCCATTCAGGAATTCTGCTGTTTACTCCAAGGCTGCGCTCACATAGCCATCCAGGCAAGCCCCTCCAGAATTTCATTCTAGCACAACTGGTGTCCAGTGATTTGCTTTAAAAACTCCCTGGGGGAGGTTTCCACAGACTCACCCTCAGGGAGGGGCTCTCAGGGCCCGTGAGCACAGATCTCCTGGCATCCCAGGCACCAAGGAGCGAGCATGGGCATGGGGATCTGTTGGGGGACCAGCTGCCCCACAGGCTCCAGAGTCAGCGTTCCCACTTGGTCCCTTTGGGGGCTGTGTGGCTCACCCAGGGGAAGGGAACCCCTGTCAACCATGTTTTGATCAAATGGAGAAGTGCCAAACCGTGGGGTGAAGGGTATCGGGAAGGTTGAATCTTCCAGAAGAATGCCCAGTTAAATCTGAATTTCAGATAAACAACAAATCATTTTTAGTTTAAGTATATCCCATGCACTCTTTGGGCCACACTTCTTTGAGAACAATGATTCGCTGTTTATCTGACTTTTGGATTTAATGAGGAAGGCTTTATGTTTATTTGCTAAACTCTGGCAGCCCTGGCTATCAGGAAGTAGCAGGACCAACAGCCTCGGGCAGCCCTGCTCTTCCCGTTTACCCCCAGAGGCCACCACAAAAACAGCCCCGCCTCTGGCCGGTACCTCATTACTGCTCTTCCCTGAGTGCACTCTGCAAAGGCCTGCAGGCTCTTTCGGGCCCTATCTTGAGGCCAAGACATGGAGGGCAACCCCTCAGCCAAAGCAAAAAGTCAAGGCGCCAAGAGCCCTGAAGGAAAGCATTTGTGGAAGAGACCCAGCATGAGGAAGCCCGAGGGAAGATGCCCCACCTCTGGGAAGTATGGAGACACCAAGCACAGGCACTTAAAGGTCTTGCAGTATGCAGATGTGAGCCTGTCCTGGGCAGCCTCACATCCCCAAGGGCACACATGAGCCAATGTAATCTAAGACCTAGAGACACGAGTGGCTGGTTGGCTTAACAGAAGCATGAGCCCCTTTATAAATGGCCTTCACCGGGCCATAGGGCAGAGGTCTGGGCAGGCCCCAGCACGAGTCCTGGCAAAGAGACATAGCCCAGGCCCGCTGAAAAGCATCTCAGGGGCATGGACTCATGGGCTCTAGGCCAGACCAAGTGCCATGGATGTGGGGGGCATTTCTCTATATACAATCCAGAAGCAGCTGTTACTCTCCTGCTCTGGCACTAATGACTCAAAAACGGAATGAGATTCTAATCCGTGGACTATTTTTACTATTGCCCAGAAAGCCCCTGGCTAATATTAGGTTGAACTACATGAAAATACCATTTTCCTAAGTCAAGAATCTTAGAATATTGGCAATTACATATGGCCCAAACAGATAATAATGCTGAGTGCCTGCTGGGGGTCAGACTCCATGCAAGGTCCTTTCGGTACATGTGCCCATTTTAGAGATGCAGAAACTGAGACACACAGAGGTCAAAGTACTCATCCAGCTGGACACACACCAGGTCTGTGTTACTCCAAAAGCCATATTCATTGAATGCACCATGTGGTGGGTTTGTGTGGGTCCTTCTATCTCTTGGGCTCTCTGCCTGTGGGTTGATGCCTGGCTATTCCGGCATCATTGGGCACCACCAGGACTCCCACCCTGTCAGCACCTGTCTACGCAGGGGCCACTTTGGAGCTAATCAAAGCCTGGCCTCCTGAATTAGCAGCAAAGTGTATTTAACAAACAATCTCAAGAGGGAAAAAACATTTGAAAGTTTATTTAGAGTGAGAAGGAAAGGGGACAAAAAAAGCACTCCTAAAATAAACAGAAAGTAATCAAAGGATAAAAACTGAATCCTACTAGTTTTAAAACGCCTTAACCATGACACTATGAGCTAACATGTAGTGAACCACTGAGAAAGCCGTCAGGTGCAGTGTGATCCAGCACCACCGCCGACCCAGACACGTGGACTTCTACGGCTCTCCTCTGAGAAGACCACAGAGCTTCAAAAGAAGGAAGAGGATGAGAAGCCTCCCAAAAGGACAAGTCAAGGTCAGGGAGTGTCACTGGTCTCCTGGCCCACCATAACTCCCCTCAGAGGCTGAAACCAGCACAGTAAGAAAAATAAAAGGGCTGTCAGACTCCAACTTGAAAAGAAGAAACGAATGTTCTCCCCCTTGTGAAATAAAATGTTTGAAGTCAGAGCATACATAACACACAATAAAAGTAGCTTCCACTAGTTCTCAATGAATATCCACAGAGATCAAAGCTGGAGAAGAAAAGGGAGGACTGACCTTCACGTGGGCCACGTAGTGATGACACGTCTCCTCCATGTGGACCAGCTGCAGCTTCTCTGTGATCTGACCCACGGACTCTCCCAGCAACACAAAGTAGACCCTGGGCAACTGGCCCTTTGCCTTTTTGTCCACATCAGCCGTCAGAACGTAATTGAGGCCTGCCGATAAATAAGGTCAAGACGTCAGCAAGGACTCACATGTGGGGACAAGGCCACCTGCGCTCCCCCCTCTCAGGCTCACAAGCACACTTGGTAATGCTTCCTGCCTCCCCACTGCAACCGAGGGCTGCAGCCCAAGTCAACACCGTCTTGGAGAGAAGCACGCAGCCAGCGTCCTCACAGAATCGAGAGACAATCGGGCCGCCCCCTGCCTTCCCGGTGATGCTCTGTGTATCACATGTTATGGCTCTCCCTGTCTTAAATCCCCTGAGTTACCAACTGAGTCACCAATGTACACATCAATAATTAGCTGTGCCCAGCACAGTTGGCATCCTTCACACCAAGGTGAACCTACAGAATATTACTAGAAACTGCAGAAATTATCACGGCTGCACATAATCCCGATTCCTATAAAGCAATGGGATATATGCCCAACACAAAGGAGCAATTAACCCAATAACTCCCAGATGTTGACTTGTGCTCTATGACCATGTGTCATCACGTCCCCCGAGCACCCGACTATGTGCCAGGCACTGTTCCAGGCACAGGGGATAGAAAAGCCCTGCTCTTCCCCTGTTTACCCTCAGAGGCCACAACAGAACAGCCCCGCAAAGCCCTGCCCTCATGGCGCTCATGGAAACTCAGACCGAGGCTAAAGCTGACTTTATTCCCAGGGAGCTGAGTATACGGATCGCGTATATTACAGCGTCTATCATTTCAACAGAATCATGAGCACTGAGGGGCCTGTGCTCAGGCGTACTGAGCGGCACTCCTGAGGAGAAAAACCCCTCACCTATTCCTGAACACGTAATGTCAGGAATAGCAGAACCTACCGGGACACAATCTGAAACTTAAAAAAGGTCACAATACAGGATGCACACTGGATGAACACAAAAGGTCTTCCTTTCATAATTTCAGAGTCAGTCACCCTACAACAATGTGCTTCATTAGGCGAGTAGGGTGTCAGTGTCAATAGACCTATTTCACTGCTTTTCCGTACCACAGCAGAGATCAGCCCTTGGGGACCCTTTTTACTTTTTAACTGCTTTGTGGATTCAGGGGAATGTGGCATTTTTAAAGTGAGAGAGAGGGAACATTCTGTCCCCCCAAATGCCCAGACGAGGCTGCAGAGCCATGGGAAAACAGATGACCCTGTCTCCACGAACCAGCCCCTTGGAAGCTGGGTTCTTGCCCCAGTAAAGAGCAGCCCACACCTGCCCACATTAAGTATGTGAAGCAGGGCAGTGGGGGTGGCTCCGGCTTTTAATAACATCAAAGGAATCAGCCCCCAGGGGAGGTCCGAGCCAGGAGGGAGGAAAGTGACCAGGACAGGCCTTCTGCAGCTGCCACACGGTGTATTGTGGATGCGTCTAATGGTTTTCCTGGGCCTCTGCCATCTCAGGGATCTTGCCATGCAGAGCTGGCGGATTCCTGGTCAGCAAGGGCCGGTCTGCCCCAACTTGTTTATTTCAGCAAACAGCTGATTGCCAAGGCGAGGCTGGGTCACCGGGGGACCTGAGACCCGGATAATCGAAGGCAATATAGTGAAGAAGAAAAGAATGCCTGTGGGAAAGTAACATGACAGAGAAAACACGGGAGCCCAGACAAGAGTTACACACCGGCTCCTTTGGCAACACCAGGGAACGGGGCAGACACATAGAATGTCAAAGCTTTAGGGCAATCCAGGGGCCATCTGGCTCAAAACCTTCATTTCTCAGATGAGGAACTGAGGCCCCAAAAGGGAGCCAGACTTGCTCCAGGTCAGAGGGCCATCCACCACAGAGCTGAGTCTAGAACCCTCCTAACCTCCACTGTAGGGCTATGCCTACCACACTGGTTCTTGGTGCACTTTTGAAATTTTTTGAATGCCCAGACAGCAGAACCCAATACATGCAGTGATCCAGAACTAAACTCTGGCCCATTTACTTTCTACTCATGACAATTTCCCTGAGCAACAGCCAAACAGTAAGAAAGGATAAGTATATATGGATTGTATTTCCAAGTTATGTTTAGCAAGTCCAGAGCTAGAGATGGACATTGCTGGAAGATGAGCCAGGCAAAACCAACATGGTAGCTGTTGAGTGGACCCCTCCCTGGCCTTCCTCCCAGGTGCAAGAGCTGCCCTCCCTTGGGAAGGGTGGGCATGGGGAGAACAGAGAGTGTGAACCCTCTTGCCAGTGATAAGCTAGCTGAGCTCAGAGAAAGCCAGGGTAGAAATGATCACAGGAAGACAGAGCAGATAGGATCAATGACCCACCCATATCCTCTTGGCTTGTACCATTTCTCTGCTGTCCAGCCCAACTTGTAATTGCCAGTACCTGTACCTCCTGAGAGCCTTCTCTGGTGGCTCTGTCCACATGTATGGCAGACCAGAAGTGCCAGAGAACCAAAGTCCCTGCAGTAGACCTCAGTACTGCAGAAGCCCAGCTCCCTCATTCCTTGGGTGGGGTAACTAGGAAGGGTGCTCCCCATGGACTGTCAGGGTTCCCCAGCAGGATTCAACAACAACACACCTTCTGTTTGGCTGCTGTGATGGTTTACTTTATGTGTCAACTTGAGTAGGCTGCAGTACCCGATCTGGATGTCACTGCAAAGGTATTTTTATTTTTTTAAAGAGTCGTTGATATTTTCTAGCAACACAGCACGGCAGGGAGGCGCAGGGAGGAGCAGAAGGAGAGGGACAGAGAGAATCTCAAGCAGACTCCACACCGAACACAGAGCCCAACGTGGGGCTCGATCTCACCATCCTGAGATCATGACCTGAGCTGAAACCAAGAGTTGGATGCTTAACTGACTGCGCCACCCAGGTGCCCCTGCAAAAGTATTTTTAAATGAGATTATGTTTAAATCAGTAGACTTCAAATAAAGCAGATTACCCTCCATAATGTGGGTGGGCCTCATCTAATCACTTGAAGGCTTTATGAGAAAAAGACTAAAGTCACCCCCAAAGAAGGAATTCTGCCTTCAGGCTGCCTCCAAACTATAACATCAATATACACACATCCAATTGGTTCTGTTTCTCTGCAGAACCCTGACTGACACAGCTTCCTTCCCTTCCTGTCTCACTTTCCTACTGGTGCTTCCTGGGATTGATCACAGCCTGAATCAACCATGTGCACCAAATCCTTGATTCAGGCTCTGCTTCTGGGAGAATTTGAATTAAGATGGGGCAGGTCAGGAAAAGGGAACAGATTCAGCCTTCAGTGTGTGCCAAGCACTGTGCTGGATACTTTTCAAACACCACTTTAGGCCTGTAACACCCCATCTCGCCATAAAATCTCTGACCCAATATAACCCTCAGACAACTGAAGAGAGGACAGAAACAACTCACAGTTACTAGAACCTGAGCTGAGGATCACAACCACTGCTCTGCTCCAGGCAGAGCGTGGGCATGCCAACATGTTCACCTATCAGATTTTTCTAAAATGTTAAAATATACAATCACAGACTGACCGAATTATCCAATTCACCAAGCATAATCATTTTGGAAGCTTTTCATCTTTGTAACTGTCTGCTTAATACTTCTCCTTGATTTAAAATTTACTTTGACATTTTAAATCACACAAAAAGAAGTCGGTTCCATATCACACTCTCTCTTCGAGAAGAAAGCCACCCGAAGACTCATGATGGGAAGCCCAGCCTGAGTGAGGAGGGTCTCATAGTTGTCAGGGCAGTAAGAAGTGCAGACCATTCTGGAGCCCCGAGTTCAACTGGCAGTTTTAAACAGTACCTACCCTAGGAGTGTCTGAAAGGGAGCCCCTAAGAAGTGGAAGAGATGCCAGAGAAGCAGCCAATCAGTTGGCACGCTCAAGCAGCCGGGCCCCATGGGAGGGTGGCTGCCCCTAATGCAAGCCAGGCCAGCCAGCCCCCGTCCCGGGGAGGGTGCTGGTTCTGATTAGCGCCTGATCCCACCGCACAGCCCACATCTTCAGGTTTTCCTTCTGGCAGCTTGTGTCCATGCCATGTCGAATGATGTCATGTTGATGGAAAAGCTGACCAGCCGCAAGTCATGTTGCAGCCTCCTCCTCTCTCTGCCCCCAGCTGGTTCCCAAGGGCCCCCCATACTGGCCTGGGCCAGGAGGGAGCCAGCTGTCTTGCATCAACTGAGCTCTGGTCGGTCCCAGCAAGTTTTTGACTCATTCTCATTCTCCATCACAACATGATTTCAGCTGTGAAATCCTACTAATAAATCCTCCTTCTAGGGGCGCCTGGGTGGCTCAGTCATTAAGCATCTGCCTTTGACTCAGGTCATGATCCCGGGGTCCTGGGATCGAGCCCCGCATTGGACTCCTTGCTCAGCAGGGCGCCTGCTTCTCCCTCTCCTGCTCCCCCCTGCTTGTGTTCCTTCTCTGGCTGTCTCTCTCTCTGTCAAATAAATAAAATCTTTAAAAAAAAAAAAAAATCCTCCTTCCAGACTTACTGAGCTTCCCTTAGAGTCTCCCAAGAGAAGGGGGGGAGAAAGGATATTTCCCCCCTTTACTAGCTCTCCTAAGCTTGCTCCCCACCCCACAAAGGAACGAAGTGGTAATTATTAGATTAGGTTACCCCATGCTTCATATATATGGATTTGCCTCGTTATCCCACCTCCATGCTTCTCAAGAGACCACAAGGAGCTCGGAGAATGTTCTATGTGTGTGAATGCTCTCTGGAGTGGAAATGTAGCCCCCCACCCCCGAAGCCAGAGGAAGGGTCTGGGGACAAGTCTCCTGGTTTGGACCCTACTTCTGCTACTGGCTTGGATGACCTGGTGCCATCTCTCAGGATCTAGGCTCCACGGCTTGTCCAGAAGTCTCTGAGAGCCATGGAAACAAGGGGTGCCAGATCAGAGCACAAAACACAACCATTTAGGGCTCATTCCCCCATGGTTTTCATTTAGCATCTGGTGAGAGTCCATAATTGCTGGTTCAATCCCTAGCCTCCAGAGACTGAGGAGCACATTTAGGCTTTAGCCTAAGTAGGTAGAGGCTCAGCCCCGTGGGGAAGGGGCAGAACGCTTCCAGGCACACATTCGCCACCCTTACTTATGGCAGCCAAGAGGCTCCGAGGAGTGGCAAGCTGCCTCCCAGGCCAAGAATGAAGTGATTAATAAGACTTGGGATGGGCAGAACTCTTGTTTTAAGCTGCTTGGTGAAATGGGTTGTAAATCTGTTCTTTGAACCACTGCAGCTGGACATGTGCCCGCACCCCAGCACGGAATGGAGGGCCTACCACACAAAGGGGCCCCGGACACATCCAGAAGGGTGAGTGCGGGAGCATCGGCTGTTTGCATCTGCCTCCCTCCCTGCTGAATGCAAGCTTCCTGAGGGCCAGGGCTTTGTCTGGCCTGGCCTATGCTCTGCGCCCAGGGAGCGCACAGTCCGGCACTCTTAAGAACTTAATAGCTATTTGTTGGTTAATGACCCAGCAGGTACATCAGTAACTCCGTGTGACTGGCTACTTGCTGGGCTGGTTCCTGAAGCTGTTGTCTCTCTGCTCCCAACCCACCCTGCTCTGCGAGGCTGGGTCTGGGGCTCAGCACACCTCACTGCTGCTTTGCCAGTGGTTCCGTGGGAGGCTCGACCCAGATGGACAGCTGGAGGGAAGCTGGTGGAGGGAGAAGGGACTGCATCTTCCTGCCTGCTTCCTATTCCCATCAGCTTAACCTGGCAACAGTCTTCCCGGAAGCTGGTTCCAACAGCAGTTAATACCCCTCGGAGACACTGGCAGCGCTAGTTACTGCCCCCTCCCCACCAAGGTTGAGTTCTCAGGTCCGCAGGGTCCCTTCTCCATGTTTCTAGGTTCTGATCACCCCAAGTGTGACCTTTTTTTCCCCCCTTTGTCCACTTGACCAGCGGTTCTCAAGTCTCAGCCACCCAGAGGCTTGCTGAAGGGCAGGTTGCTGGGCCCCACCCTCAGGGTCTGATGCGGTTCGAATGTGCATTTCTAACATTCCCACGTGCTGTGCTTGCAGCTGGACTGGGGACCACGCTTTGAGACGCCCTGGTGCTGACCCAGAAGTCAGCGACTACCAGGTCCTCTGTGACCTGCTTTCCTGAAGATTCCCAATGTTAAATTCTGTCAAAATAACTGGTTTCTCTTTTCCTAACTGGATCCTGCCATTCCAGGGGCCATGGCAGAGTCAACCCCTACAGAAAATCTCTGGAGTTCCCACGGTCCTGCCAGAGGCCACAGCTGCCCCTCCAGGGGCTTGGCAAATCAGCTGGCCCCGAACACCCCGGAGACCAAGTGGGAGCTAAAGCTAAAGCTGAAAATGAAGAGGAGAATGGAGTCCCGTCCCCACCAGGTCCTACCGGAGAGAAGAAACCAAAGAGGCCAGACTGTAAGTAACATGAAGCATCTATGGCTCTCCCAACCATCCCCGGGGAGGTCCCGTGGCTCAAGATGTCAGCAGACAGAAAATGCTTCCAACAGCTGTTTAGAAGTACCCAGCACACACTGGTGCTTCTTGGTTGCACTGTGCCAGCCACACGCACCAAAGCAGCCACTCGACGGACACAACCTGGCCCCGGACATGCAGACACAGAGAGGGGCCTGGAAGGTCGGCACGAAGTGGACATTCACTTGCCGGACATTCACTTGCCAGGCATTCCGTGGCCAAACCCACCACCACCCAGGCTCCTCTGCAGCAACGGGAGAGAGGGAGGCTCATCACCAGAGCCCCGGCCTTGGGTTCCCAACACAGAGGCCTGGGCAATGACGCTGAGCCTGGAAGACGGTAGAGGGTGGCGGTGCCCCCACCCTCCACTACCCGGAGACCAGGGACCTGATCTTCCTGATCACGCAGAGCCAAGGCACTGCCTTCTATGCCGGACCCCAGGGACACCCCACCGCAGCTGGACCCCCACGAGCTACCTGTCACTCCCATGATTTCTATCACATTTCCATAACAACTGCCCATTTTCCCCTCCTCAAGGCTCTCCATATTCCACTGTCAGCTCATGTTTTACCAGATTTCTGCAGAGATGGAGATCTAGCACCTTTTCCTGAATGCCAGGGGAGGACAAAGAAAAATGGGATGGGTAATTTTCTGCATTGCCCCACTGATACCAAAATTCCCCAGTTATCATGATCTGTAAGCCGCGATCTTAAATAAATGTGGAGAAATACCACTTCGATTATAAAGGGATGTTTGATTTCAGTGGGAGAGTGCGCTGCCGCTCAGAGTCCACCCCCTGCACGTGGGCGGCCTCCCGCCTGCTCCACACTGCCCACTAGGGGCAGTACGGTGTGCTACTCAACCGCCCGTTCCTCCTGATCCTCCCAGACTCTTCAGGGGTCATGGTTAAACCTAGCCTTCATTATAATTCTGCCTAGAGGTCAATGAAAGGGGCCCCAGTCACTGGTGTGGAGCAGCATGAGAAGACACCCACATCTCCTCCTGACTCAGCCCACAAAACTTCTAATCAGAGTTCACTCTACCACCTGTCTTACGCTCTGAAATCCCCCTTGCTCAAAATTGGCATCTTGGGTTTCTTCTCGTCTGCTCCTACTCTGCCAAATTACCTTCATTACCACCACAGTGATGTCATTAAAGAGCCTGGAAACTGCGTACACTGCTTCAGGATCAAAATAATAGAAACTCTGTAATTCCCATTTGAGACTCCGTGAGGATGTGCTTGGCACACCCAGGCACACAATAAACATTTGTCAAATGAACACACACATGAACTATTAATCACTTGCTTATTTTAGAGTTACAGAAGAGTTCTGCTTATTTTTATGCACACCAACGTAAACCTTCAACTCAACAATTCTTTTATAATGTTTTTTAATGGAGTCCAACTACATCATGAGTTGGTATTTGATAGAAGACACACCATCTAATTAGGCAAAGGACATAGGAGTTCTAGGACCAATTGAAAAAAATTTTTCCCTAGAGACTGGTATCTTAAAATAATTAGGGAGGAGATGAGAAACAGTTTTTGGAAAGCAAAACTAAGTATCATCAAACCAGGATTCAACTCCTGGCTTCACCAACAGCCATGTGATCCTGAGCAAGTAGTTTTCTCACTGAGCATGGTCTTTTTCTCACTGGGCTCTACATAAAACGTTAGTCCTTTCTCACCAACCAAGCCCTGAGTTCCTGGTATATTTACATTCAGTTTTGAAATTTCTAAGTTTTTTTTAAAAGAAATCTCTAGGAACAAGTTCAAGATTTGACTGTTGAACTTATTCAATCCACCTGAAGATCAAGATGAAGTATCAATGAGACCATTAGCCTAGAAGGATTAGCACACTGTTAAATAATGTACAGCTTTCAAGGTACAGCTGAGAAACGGACCAGCACACACACACACACACACACACACACGTGCACACGTGCTCCAGAGAAGCGCCTCTTGAACATAAATGTGCACACGGATCCTGTGGGATCTTGTTAAAATGCAGATTCTGATTCTGAGACCCAGAGCGAGGCCTGAGATTCTGCACTTCTCACAAGCTCCCAGAGGATGCTGGTACTGGTGGGTCCAGGGACCACACTGTGAAATAGGGAAGGGAAACACTTGACTCTAAGAATGTCTAAGAAAGGCAGTAAGTCCAGGTCCTTATTGTTTTGTGGGGTTTTTTTTAATTTTCCTAGAATTCTATTTTCTATTATTAAATCAGCCTTTCAAGTAAAAACAAAGCACCTATTAATCTGTATGAATGTTCCAGATTCATTTCCTTCAAGTGACCACACACTGAGTTCTACTCCACACTGATCCTATCCTGATCCAGGGATTGGATCTCTGGAGTTGGCTAGCAAGTTGGCCTTCCCCAACCAGAGAAAACAGCAGGGCCAGCTGTCTCTTTTCAATCATCTGAAGCTGACAAAGCAGCTCCCCCTCTTTCGTAAGTCTGAGCCTTCATAAAACTCAGCATCCCAATCCTACCATCCATCCCTGGTCTCAGATTCCACAGTAAAGGGCTTAAGGCCCTGACATCTGGCTGGTGCCGCGGGCTCAGGGGAAGCCTCCAAAGACCCACCACTTCTTTTTTCTAACTGAATGGAATGTTCTGTAAGGGCCAGGCTCCAGTCACTACCTTTCCACAAGTCCCACTGGCCTGTGACACCTGTAGCCCAGTGAGGTTTCAGTCTGGTCACACATTTGGGGAAAGGATGCTTGGGGTCAAATATTATTTGTTCTAGACCTGGAGGTTATGTTAAATTGGGAAACTATGGGAAGCAGAAAAAAGCAGGAACCGCGGAGGGAAGGGGTGTCTGGCCTGTGCGTCTGCTGCCTGCAAAACCAGCCAGAATGCACAGTGAGAGCAAAGGATCCAGAAGAATCCCTCAGTGGCCACAAGCCCACTCCAGCTAAGATGGCCATCCCGAGCCCTAACTCAGTGGCTCATTACCAAGTTCTCCTGGAACATGCTTGCCGTGGAAGCTAAAGCAGGCGGTGACGTTGAGGCAGTTCACAGGCTGCAGCCCATCGTGACACTGAGGTGCCGTGATGTTGATGGAGGCTGGGAGGAAGATGGAGACATCCACTGTAATGACAGGTCTTGCCCTGCACGTCAAGAGAGGGAGGTGACTTAGTCATGCTCTCAGAACCAAACAAGAACTAACCCAGCAAGAGAAATCCTAGGCCTTCAGCCTGGCATTTAATTAAAGCATGAAATAACCAATGAGAGAGGGGCCAATGTGCCCTGTAAAGACTTTTTCCTGGTTTTAGAAGTGGCTTATTTCCTAATAAATTAATAGTTAGCTTCCCAATAATAAAGGCAAGTAAGTTGTTAATAAAACACATCTGGTTGAAGCCATAAATGAACCACCAGATGTCGGGTGATTATTTAAAATTTCACCAATTAAGTTCCGATTTTCATTTGATTAGGAAGATAGTAATATATTTAAGAGGCGTTCCTACAGCAGATGCTGGGACTCGAGAAATAGATGTATCATTGGGAATTCCCGAGCATTTACTGTCTCTGTAAGCATGAACTGCAGAATTCCAGTCCCATCCAGTAGGTTAAACCTTCCCCCTTCATTTCCTCCCTACAATTCATTAAGCATTTTTCTAAAAGAACTTGATTAACAGAGTCCCAGCTGGTAACAGCAAAGTACTTCAGAGCTGAAGGAATCAACCTACCTGGCCTCAGGAGCAAGTGAAACCCTAAAAACATCTGCATCCCTTACCACCAACATGGACCACCAGCGCTACCTCCCACCCCATGCTTGATAAATGCACTGCATCCCTGCGGCACCTTCCATGGATCCCCAGGGTCAGCCCACAAAAGCTGATAATGACTCAGGCATTCTGCTCTCATTGCAAACACCTGCTCAGGGACGGTTCACCTAAGCTGTGCCTTAACCTCCCCTCCAGGCCTCACAAAGAGACCCTTTTACCTCTAGGAAGCCCTGGCCTTCATGCCACTGGGGTGATAATAATAAGATTAAGGGGCATTAGTGGCTTGAGAACAATGACCTCCCTTGTGTACAATGACCCCGAAGAGCGCCCACGGTGAGAAGACAGCTGGGGAAAAAGGAACACAACTCTCAGAGAAGACAGTATTAAGGAAAACCTCGGGGAAAGAGGGAAGGAAGGAGACACGTGGCCGGGGGGGGGGGTTTCACTGCGGCCACCACTGCCATGGATGTGGGTCAAGACCAGAAGAGTTGTGACAAGTACAAGGGAACGGTGGGTCTCCCAGAGCAAATCCAGCTGTAAGGCCAACTGACGTCAGACAACAGCAGTGCCTGAAAGAAATCCAAGGTCCTGGCCTTCCAATTTCCTTCTGGGTTCATCCTTAGAAGATGCTATAAATAACACAGAAAACAAATACTCTGCTCCTGGTCTATGTGTTTGTACAGATGCCAACGGACACTCTATAAAGCGCCGGGGTCCTTCCACAGCCAGCTTACATTCCATTCCCTCTCCTGGGAAGTCTCCTCCAAGAACCCTGGCAGTTGGATGCCCGCCTCCATGTCCCCAGCACTATCTTCACACCTCACCTCACTTACTGATTAAGGTCTTTGTCTAGTTGCACACCTGCTTCACCAGCCTTCAGGCCCCTCAAGGGCTTGGACCCCGGCAAATTCATCATGACAGCCTCAGGACAGGTGTTCAAAAACCCGAGGTGATTTATTAAATGGGTGCCAATTTCACTCCAGGCCCAGGGACTGAAAACCACCGGAGTGCCCAAAGTTTCATAAAACAGACAGAGGCACCAGGGAGAGCTGGTCTCCACCCTGTGAGAGCCTCCACCCTGCCCAGGGCACATCCTGCCAGGTCACCGCATGGAATAAAGGCCTCACCCCCTCCCACCATCCCAGGGGCCACCATGTCGGGGAGGCTACCTGGTCCCTGCTCAGAGCAGGGACCTGCAGAGGAAGGCAGGGTGGGCAGGCTGGCAAACTGACGTCGATGGAGGCTGTCAACACAGAATCCTCTGAGGTGAGGACAAAGACCTTCAGAAGCACATGTCTCACCAACATCAGTCAGATCAGGCCCTTGAACCTGTGTCAATTCCAAGAATTGTTTTTGGACCAGGGAAAGCCCAGAAATCTTTCCTAAACTCTCTCATCGCTTCCTTTGAACTTCACCGGCTGGCACAGCACCAGGCGCCTATCACCCTCACACAGGCCTTGCCCGCCCCTGCTAATCTGAGAGCGCAAAATCAGCGAGGGCAGAGTGGGGCCAGCCCGCAGTCCTGCCTGCAAAGGTGCCAGGCTCAGTGAGAAAAGCAAAGGGGCACCTAAGGACAGCACCAAGACCTGATTTTTAACAACTGGTAGCTAAAATACTTCTTTCTGATGACTCCAACAGTTCAAATCCTGATACAGATGCTCCCTGACTTATCACGGTCCGCAGTAACGATTTTTCAACCTTATGATGGGGTGACGTGCACTTAGTAGAAACCAAACTTTGAATTGTGAATCTGGATCTTTCCCCGTGCTGGTGCTATGTGGGATGATTGTGTGGTGACGCTGGCCCAGGGCCACAGCTCCTGGGCTCCGCCACCGATCACGAGGGTGAACGCCCCATACACTGACACCCTTTCTGTACCCGCATGGCCTGTTTGTCACTTTAGGTACAGTATTCAATCATTTACATGAGATTGTCAATGCTTGATTACGAAACAGGCTTTGTGCTAGATGACTGTGCCCAACTGTAGGCGGATGCAAGTTGTTCTGAGCACAGTTAAGGTAGGCCAGGCTAAGCGATGGTGTTCAGGAGGTCAGGGGTAGTAAATGCATTTCCACTTAGGATATTTTCAATTTATGATGGGTTTATCACAATATTAACTCCTTCCTAAGTCAAGGTAGGTCTGCACTTCACCTGTATTTACTTCCAGGTAAAACCAGTCAGGATGCCCTCTGATGGGCTATCGCTACCTCACCCCAGCCCTCTGCGGGGGCAGTGCTGTTTATGGGACAGACACGGGTGGACACACTGAGAGCCTACACCCCCGGGGAAGATGGAGGCTACTAAACCAGCCCTGCAGCCATTTCCTCCAGGCAGCTAATTCACGTCTATGTACTTAGAGCCACCCGCAGTAAGGTGTTCTCTTCGCGGCAGCCCAAAGAATTTCAAGCCCGTACACATGTGGACTCTCTTCTGGAGGATGTGTCAGAGTGGGCATGGTGTGTTTCACGTGCATGCACATCCTTGGTTTCTTTTTCTGGTCCCACCCAAACTCTGAGGGGACTCAAAGTCTATCTAACTTGCCGGTCAGCTAGGCCATGCCTGGGATGCCCCCCAGCTTAGCCAGCTGACATCTCCAGACCTTCTTGTCCATAGTCGTTCAGCCACGTCCAGCACCTTATCAACAGATGCCACTGTGGATGACCAGCCTTCCTGGCCCCTCAGACATGCTCAGCAGTCCCTCTGCCTAAGGGGCCCCAGCTTGCCTTCCCTGCTCCCAGAAGATACCTGAGGTGGTTACCCTCACCCATGTTCCACGCTGAACCTTGCCCTGGGCCTGCTCCAATCTTGGGGCCTGGCTCAAAGATCAGGCCCCTGCCACCCACAGCCTATACAAGGCATCCCACCTCCCTCTCCTCCCTCAACCCCCATTCATCCTCGTCCCCTTCCCACTCTGTCTCTTCAGGCCCCAAGGCAGGAGTGGGGTCAAGGCAAGGTTTGTATGGATGAAGGTGAAGCTAAAGGTGACCACCTCTGGTTCTTGCAGGACAGGAAAGGACCCAGGAGAGCAGGAGAGGTTTCAAAGACTCTCAGGCTAATCTCTGAGCCACTGGCAATCCCATTTGCTCCTCTGCAGCCAAGCTTCTGGAAAAGAGTCAAACTTCATCATCTGTTTTCTTGCTTCTCCTTCTCTCTCCCACCCACAGTGATCTGACTTCCGCACCTCACTTCTCTCGACCTGCCAGAGCCAAGGGCACATTGGCTTCACACCGCCACCTCCAACAGGACTATGTGGCCCTCTCTGCTGCGCTTGAGGCAGGCAGGTGCCCTTGACCACACGACCCTGCTTTATCATCCTCATGGCACTGACCACAATCTACAATTATCTCCTTTTTAAAATTAACAGAACTTCAATGTCACTTGGTTTCCTCATCCATAAAATGGGAATAACGGTAATAATATCTAGGTCATGGAGCTGTTAAGAAAACTAATAATTAAAACACGTTCTATCAGGGCGCCTGGGTGGCTCAGTCAGTTAAGCCTCCGACTCTTGATTTTGGCTCAGGTCATGATCTCAGGGTTGATTCTCTTAAGAGTCTCGCTCTCTTCCTCTTCCTCTGCCCCTCCCCCCTCTAAAAAAACTATGTTTTAGCAACAAGAGAAGAACAAACTACAGGGTATTCAGTAAATGGACTACTGCTCAGTAAGGGGAAAAAGAACTGAACACCACACAACAGCATGGGTGAATCTCAGACACACTGTACCGAGTGAAAGAAGCCAGAACCAAGAGAGTGTGTACTACATACTTCCATCTATGTGAAAAACCAGACCAGGCAGAACTGATCTACAGCAATGAAAATCAGACCAACGGTTGTCCATCAGGAGGGGACATAACTGAGAAGAGACAGGAGGAAACTTTCTGGGGTGACGGAAATTGTTATTTATCTTAATGGCGGTGGCACTTACACACGCGTGTACGCTGCTTAAAGCTCATCAAGCAGTATACTTAAATCAGCAGGCTCTACTGTATGCAAATTATACCCCAATACGAAGAGAAAAAACAAAAACCTCCAGAAAGAGTTGCACGTGTGGGAGCCTAAGCAGTGTCTGGCATGTGGTAAGCACTTAGCAAACACTGGTTCTATTAGTTACTTGTATAGTTGTTCCGCGAGGCGCACCTGGGAGCCGACACATAGTTGAACACCACAGGTCAACCGTATTAGCTGAACAAACGAGGGAATGGATCTCTGATCTCCTCATCCCCACACTCCTCCCTCGGCTATCAGGGCCTTCTGCTGACTACCTCGTCCAGGCATGCCCAGCAGCCCCGCTCCTAAAGCCTCTGCTCTTGATAAGCAGTCCGTGGCATTCTTCCCAAAGGACCCTGCCTTTGTCCCTGGATGATCTCCCCTCACCAGCTTCAGCCTCCACCCCAGGCTGGGGTCTGGGGCTCCCATCTGCCGTGGAACTGCCCCACTTTATGTCTCCATCCACGTGTGGGCAAAACTCCCAGAGGAGGCCATACGTCACCAAGAAGGAGAGAAAAAAAAAGTCCCTTGGGGCTGAGGTTCACAGCTGGAAGCTTATGAAATACAAGAATGATGAAAAAGCAGAATCTATAAGTTTACCTTAAGCCAGATGCTCCCGGTTTTAAGAGCGCCTGTTTTCAACTGCGAGAGCCGGGGAACGTGTTTTATTCTAGAGGAATCGTGACAAGCCGGAGCAAGCTGCTTGGGACAGCGAAGAGGGGAGAAGGACACCACAAAGGCGGTGGGTAAGCTCAGCTTCTAAAGTGTCACCTCAGTCATTGGAGGCCACGTAAGCTGTTTTACCTGAGAGGAAATGGCCAACCCACAGGACGGGGGCGGATGAAGAAAGCAGAGATCCAATCACAAAGCAATAGTGAGGTCACCGCCTGGGGGACACACATGCCACCATCAAATACTAAAGGGCTGCTACATGCAAGATATAGGATAAAGAAGCAGAATTTTAGGGAGGCAGATTTAGCATAAGTTATCTAAGAATTGCTAACATTTATTGACCACCTACCTGTTCTATGCATTTTGCATGTAGTCCTAACTCACAGAGTTCTACAGACCCAGTGAGGAAGTACTACTGTTCTCCTGTTGGACAGGTGAGAATCCTAAAAGACAGGTTACCTGACTCACCCAGGGAAACTCGCCTCCCAACAGCAGAGTGGGGGTTCGAACCCAGGCCGCCTGGCCCCAGAGTTCACCCTCTTAACCCAAGGCAATTCTGCCTCCTTAACAATTTAACATCCTGAGTTAGCTGGGGGTTAACTGGTTCCCTCCGAAGTTACTAAGCTCTCACCCCTAGGGGCACCTCACTCAGGAGGAGGCCGGGTGCTTTGCAGCCAGAGAGTCGGAGGAAGGCGCTGCTGAATGAGAAGAATCTGGGGTGTGCAACTACATGGCCTCTGGGACCCCTTCCAGCTCTAATATCCCACTGGCCTATTTTAGAAAGTTCTGCCATCAGGTTATTAACAAAACCTAAGAGCTGGCTCCCACTCCAAAGGGTAATTCCACCTCCTCTGACTCATACAGACAGAAATACTTGGAGATGGTTCATGGTGGGATGGCAGGCCACAGCATTTGTAGGAGAGATTCAGGCTGCATGGGCTGCAAGGGCTGCAAGGGCTCCCATTCCTCACCTCTGCCTCCGCAGGCCAGGAAGTACTGTCCACAGGGCAGGAGGCTCCCGGCCCCTGGGGATCTGGGGACTGACAAGGTAGGGATGAAGAGCTGGGACAAGGCAGTGCTTTGGAGCCCGAGTGTCCTGGCACCCGTAGGAAATGACGACATAGTATACACACATGTATGAAGCAGCTGATCATGGCAAAAGGCAAAACCCCTAGGGCTGAAGCCACCCCAAGCCCCAGGGATGCTACGGTCTCAGAGCTGCAAGCCACTGGAGGCCCACCAGCTAGAAACTCTGCAACAGGGGTAAGAGGACAAGAAAAGAAAGGCCACATTTCCACTTCCCGAGCACCTCCAGGAACAGGACAGAGGGAATTGCTGACTAAGGGGGAATAACTCCCCCAACCACCCCCATCACCAAATTCCAGCCCCCACCGTGAAGAACGGAGTCCAGGAAGCAAGAGGAAAGCATCTCACCTTAGAAGAACCACGCTGTCAGACATGAAGGCTCCAATAGTTACATCTGAAAACCAGAAGTTTGTAGCATTCAGAGACGTGCTGAAGCCCCTCCCAGCCCACCCACCCCCTGGCAAGGTCCACAGCCACGGGGGCCCAGCGCTGAGGTCAGGGGCCCCTGACAGCCTTCCTCTGGGCCATTCGATGATCTTGTAAGAGTGAGAGCCACATTGAACCACATGGCAGCCAATCACCGGGTGTGGCTTGGTGAGACCTTAAAATGTGGCTGGTACAAAAACCATGAACTAGCTCAAAAAATTTTATATTATTAAAATTGATTTCACCTATTTCTTTTTATCTTTTTCACGTGGTTCCGAGAATACATTAAATTATATATGTGGCTCACACTATGTATCTTTTGAACACCAGTGAATTAGAGAGACAGATACTTAGAACTAAATGAGCTAGAAAAAAGCTCTAGGATCTGTAGAACATGTGAATCATCTCTGCTCTACCCCTCATTCTGTGTGACCTCAGAATCTCTCAGAGAGTCCTTGTCTGTACTGTGGACATAATTATCCCCAGTGTCTTCTTCAAAAGCTGATAACATTTCATAATATTTAAATCAGAAGACATCTATTAAATATTTACTAAACATAAGGGGCGCCTGGGTGGCTCAGTTGGTTAAGCGACTGCCTTCGGCTCAGGTCATGATCCTGGAGTCCCGGGATCGAGTCCCGCATCAGGCTCC